AAAAATTAGACCGGCGTTGTGGCGGGTGCCTGTAGTCCCAGCTACCGGGAAGGCTGAGGCAGGAGGATCACTTGAACTCAGGAGTTTGAGGTTGCTGTGAGTTGGGCTGATACCACGGCACTCTAGCCATGAGACTGTCTTAAAAAAAAAAAAAGAAGCATTTATTTAAAGACTTCACCAGTGTGAGCATCTCAAACGCTCGAGAAGACCCATAGAAGGATAAGGAGTATAAAGAGTTATACCCTAACCTGCTCGGATGTAATAAAAAGATGGTGGGCATAATACTATTCCGCGAAGCTGATATTTTCAAAGGGCTCCCAAGCACAGTATTCTACCTAGCGTGGGAGACACAATGACATTACTCGGGTGGCTACTGGACCCCACATTCGCGGACTCGAGAGCAGACACCGGCCTTACCTTCCTCGTCGTCCTGGTCTGCGCTGGACCCAGCGCCCGCCCAGTCTTGAGAGTCGCCCTCGGTCCCGGACGCCTCCTCCTCCTCGGAGCCCGAACCCTGGCTGAAGTCGATCCGCTGCGCCAGACGCGCCAAATTCTGTGACATGGACAATGGCTGCAGGTAAGTCTCGGTGCCATCCAGGCCCACCTCTTGGACCTGCTTCTCGCAGGCCGATTCGATGCTGATCCGCACAGCGCGCACCCCGGACATGCTGGCGGCGTCGACGAGCCGCTGGAAGATCCCCGTCGGCAGCCGGGACCCAGAACCCCAGAACTGTGATGCCTCTCAGGACCGTCAGTAAACCCCACGCAACTCTAGAGTGAGAAACAAAGCCTGTGCCCAGCCACCTTCCCAGGATGCACTGCAAGGCGCACACCCCCGCCCCTCCCCCAAGACGCGCGGGTCAAAACTGCGCAGGCGCGGGAGTCCCGGCGTTTCTGAGAGCACTTCCGGTAAATCTTTGCAGACAGGTCGGGAAGTACTTCCTGGCCTCTAGGAGGCGTTGCCGGCAGCTGGAGGGAAGGTAGGATTCGGAAGCCGTGACCTTGGGGAACCTGTTCTGTGTTTAAGGATTACTTGTTTAAAAACAGTGAAGGGCCGGGCGCGGTGGCTGAAATACTGGCACTCTGGGAACCGAGGCGGGAGGATCGCTTGAGGTCAGGAGTTCCAGAGGGGAAAACAGGAATAGGAGGAGAAGAAGCTGCCCCACTTTTAATTCAGAAATGGTTTTAGAGAGCCTTTTGTTTTCTTTCTTCCGATAGGGAAAGAACTGCGTCAGAGCCTCTAAGTCCCACTGAACGCAAGTCTCTCAATTATATTGTTTAACCTTAGAGCTGGCTTTGTCTAGTTGTGCACATAAATGAATTTAGGTATTTCAAGGGTACCCCATTTTTGCCATTGTAGTTTGGGGATCTTTATTGGTTAAGACCGTTTTTCTAGGTACCTACGGAGGAGGAGGGGTCTCACCGTAAAGTATTCTACATCAGTTTAGCTGGAGTTGCAGTTGTTAGGAACAACTTGGCTTTAAATGAGTGATTGCTTATAGTTTGGGCTTCTTTTGTAAATGACCAAAGACAAAAAGAGAAAAGTGTTTTGGATCTGGCATGCTGCTTAATGAAAATTACTCTTCAGGTGTCACCCGAGTCCTTTCTCCCCTCTTACATAACTAAGTGCTTAGGCACTAAAAAATAGCAACCCTTTCTATGTGCCCACTGAGTTAAGATTCCCTATGAAACCGTTCCACGTTACAAGCAATGAGCTCAAACGCTCCGAAAGACAGTTGACTAAGGTGACTTTTGGAGAATGGTGTTCCTTATTGGGGGAGTTATCTTCATCCTCATAGAAAGCTTTCCCCTCGTTTTGTCACTCAAAAAGGGACGTTAGATATGCCAGATGAACCAAACTTCTGAGTTTAGCTAGGTTTTTAATTAAAATTACAAATTTTGCTTAAGCTAAGAGACATTTCACTTACTTTCTTCAAAGAGAGAAACTATTTCCTTCTCTGACCAAAATTCAAAGGAGAGAAAAGGCTGTACAAACTCTGATGAATAGTTCAACAACCAACCCTTAATGTCAGAGAAAAGTGAAAATCACAAATTCCCGGATAGCAGAATCTCTAGAGAACAAAACCAAAACTACCTTTTTTTTTAAGAGTCTCAATTTTGTCACCCTTTGTAGAGTGCAGTAGCATCACAGCTCACAGCAACCTCCAGCTCTTGGGCTTAGCGGAGTCTCTTGCCTCTGCCTCCCAAGTAGCTGGGACTACAGGCACCTGCCACAAAGCTGGCTTTTTTTGTTATTGTTGTAGTTTGGCCAGAGCCAGGTTCGAACCCAGTACCATTCATATATGGGGTTGGTGCCCTACTCACTGAGCCACAGGCACCACCCCAAACAAAACTACCTTAAAACCAGAGCTTCAATTCCAGCTCCATCAAATGTGGAATCTTATCATTTGAATAAAGTCTGAATCTCACAACAAAACTAGGAAGATTTGAACCTAATGAGCAGTCTCAAAAGAGGCCCCTATCAGCTTCAGTGAGGTTGAGTGAATGAAAAGCTTTTTCTACCCAGGCCTTGATTGTAGATGATACCTGGAGACTTACTTTGGGTATCTTTGTGGTTTCCAAAATGTCAACTTGAGATAATCAAGAATGTAGTTCAAAGAGAGTTTAAGGACTGTCCTACTGTCCTCAGAAAGCTTACTGGTATATAAAACCCTTTCATACCTTCTTGGCATGTAACTTCATCAGTTTTGACATTTGAACCAAGTTGGGGGAGTGCATCCTGTGTGGGATAGCCAGGACAAAATGGCATTCTCCTTCACAGTCTGTCTTTGCTTTATTTCTCTTCATAATACTTAATGCCACCTGACATATTATGTCTTTATAGTTTGTCATCCCCTACAGGCAGTCTCCAGGCTATAAACAAGATAGGTTCTGTAGGTTTAAGATGAATTTGTAGCTAAGTTGGAACAGGTACATTTACCTATTACCTGTAATAGCCTCCATTCATAAGTGCAAGCTGTACATACGTTGGATGTTTGTAACTTGGGAACTGTCTGTACAATGCCCAGCATAATCATCTGATGCCTATTCTGACCAGGTACCGTTAAAGGCACTAGCGCTACACAGTTCCGGACTTTACATTCCAGAGGGCAAGATAGATATTCAATATATATTTGTTAATGAAAGATTATTTTTGTCTGGAGGCACGATATTAAAAAGAGACATAGTATATCATGAAATTTTTTATATGTATTTATTATTATTGTTTGGGATTCATTGAGAGTACAAAGAATTAGGTCACACTGATTGATTGCATTTGTTAAAGTCCTTCTTACACTTGTGTCCCTCTCCCAAGAGGTGTGCCATACACCTTGACCCTCCATCTCCCACCCTCCTCCCCTCTCCCCAATATCTCATTCCCCTACCCTACCCCTTGCATTAGCTCATCTACTGCACTCATACTAGAATTGAGTACACTGGATTCTTGCTTCTCCATTCTTATGATGCTTTACTGAGAAGAATACGTTCCACCTCCATCCAGGTTAATACAAAAGATGTAAAGTCTCCATATTTTTTAGTGGCTGAATAGTATTCCATGGTAAACATATATCACGGCTTGTTAATCCATTCCTGGATTGATAAGCAATCATGAAAAACAAAATTTTTGGTGGGGGGGGGGATACAGTCTTACTATGTTGCCCTGGGTAGAGAACCATGGCGTCACAGCTCACAGCAACCTCCACCTCTTGGGCTTAAGCAATTCTCTTGCCTCAGCCTCCCAAGTAGCTGGGATTACAAGAGCCCACCACAGCGCCCGGCTATTTTTTGTTACAGTTGTTGTTGTTTAGCTGGCCTGGGCCAGGTTCGAACTTGTCACCCTCAGTGTATGTGGCTGGCGCTGTAACCACTGTGCACCAAGCCAATCATGAAAATTTTTATCCATATTTCTATTTCAAAATAGTGCTTATTTCAGAATAATATTTAGGAATTTATACTCAAAAGGCATAGCTAACATCCAAAGTAGAACAACAAAAAATATTAAAGATTAACTGCTTAGTACTAAAGCGGTCTGGAATCTTGCACAATAGCAAGATTGGCTATTAATCTTATTAATCATGAATGAGACTAGAGTGTTGATCCCTGGCTGATAATTATTGAAGAACACTGGGGAAAATTTTAACCATTACAGTAATTTTTATTTCACAAAGGACAGTGGTGATGTTTAACAAAAACTTCACTTATAAATTAAAGTATGCTCACTTCAATGTTGTAATTTGATAGTGCTGCTTTTCCCTTTCTTCTTGCAAATAACCAACAAGGTAAAACTGCTTCCAATTGGCAATCCAAACAGGGGAGGAGTCATGGCTGCCCGTAGTTGGTAATGTCTATGAAAGGCAAACTGCCAACTTCTGAGTATGGGTTAACTTCACAAAGGCTGAAGTGTACCCATTGGCACTTTGTCCATGAAAAAAGTATACTTTCTGGAAAGGATATTTAAAATCCAATACAAAGATTCACAAGAACTATCCACATTTATTTCTTTTTTTTTTTTTCTTAAAAAGTATGAGATGGAGTCTCCTTCAGTTGCCCAGGCTGGAGTATGGTGATAGGATCACAGCTCACCAAATGATTCTAAACACTTGATTTTTCTAATACTCAAAAATATCCAATTCGAAGCTGCAAGATTCATTTGAAAATACTTAATGTCATACAAATATAAGTTATTAGATAGTAGGAATAATTGTATGATTCCTGATCATGTTTATATTTAATATATATAAACACAACACTGATTTTCCTGATATTATAGAAAAAAACAATGACATTGGTATGTATGTAAAAAAAATTACAGAACATTTCAGTTAGGTTTCTTTGTTCCCAATATGCTCTTTCAGACAGATATGCAAAATAATATAGAATACAATGTTAATCTAGTCCCTTCATTTTGAAAGCCAAAAAGTGAGGTTTAAGTAGTGAGATCATTTCTATTAGATTTTATATCTGAATTGATTAATGAGTTAATCAACCATAATTATTTCTTTTTCTAAATGAGTATCAGCTGATTTAATCTCGTCCAATTGTATGGGTCTCTTTTGGTTGATCAATACGATACAGAAATTCTGCAGGTAAGAAGTATCCAAGATATTCCACTGTATCTGGGGTAGTGTCATAATGGTAGTGTCCACCTTCTCCATGATGACTAAAAAAGTGAGTGTGCTCCAGTCGCAAATCAAAACCCTAGGATAACAAGCAATCTGTTAGGACTAATATTATTTTGATTATAATTTGTTTTAGGGAGAGGAAGAACTTTTTATGTTACAGTAGTTTTTACTTATGTTTATTTTATTGAGACAGAGTCTTGCTCTATTGCCCAGTCTAGAATACAGTGGCATTATTGTAGCTCACAGCAACTTCAAACTCCCAGACTCAAGTAGTCTGCCAAGTACCTGAGACAACATTCATTCCACACTATGCTCAGCTAATTTTTCTGTTTTTAGTAGAGACAGGGTCTGGCTTTGCTCAGACTGGTCTCGAACTCCTGAGCTGAAGCAGCCCTCCTACCTCAGACTCCTAGAGTGCTAGAATTATAGGCATGAACAACTGTGCCCAGCCAATAGTTTTTATTTTCAAAATAGCTAGCACAGGAGGCCAGTCACAGTGGCTCATTCCTGTAGCACTCTGGGAGGTCAAGGCAGGTGGATTGCTTGAGCTCAGGAGTTCCAGACCAGCCTGAGCAAGAGACTCTGTCTCTATTAAAAACAGAAAATTAGCTGGACGTGGTGGCACAGGCCTGTTGTCCCAGCAACTCAGGAGGCTGAGGCAAGAGTATCTCTTGAGCCCAGGAGTTTGAAGTTGCTGTGAGCTATGATGCAATGGCACTTTACCCAGGAGGACAAAGTGAGACACTGACTCAAAAAATAAAAAATGAAATAGCTAGCACATACACATTTTCCAGATTCAAAGGGTGCAAAAGGAAATACTCAATGAAATGTGTCGTTCCTCCTATCTCCTGCCAGTTAACTCCTCTCCTAGCAGGCGACCAGTATAAGCAGTACATTCTTGCATATGCTTCCAGAAATATTTACTTTTATTATTTCTTTACTTAAATTGAAGCACTTTGTACATACTTTTCTGTATAGAGTTTTTTTCGGGGGGGGTGTTTATTTTTTAAATAGAGACAGGGTCTTGCTCTGTTGCAAAGGCTGGAATGCAATGGACTGACCATACTTCAGTGTAACCTTAAACTGTGGCCTGAGTAATCCTTCTGCACCTAGACCTACAGGCATACACCACCACACCCCAGTAATTCTTTACAAAGTGTCTGTGGAGACAGGGTCTCCCTATATTGCTCAGGCTGGTTTTCAATTCCTAGTGATCTTCCTGCATCAGCCTTCTGAAGTATTGGGATTATAGGCATGAGCCACCGTGCCTGGCCAGAGGTTTTTCTGGGTTTTTAACTTAACAATGTATCTGGAGATGTTTGTGTATCAGATCATAGAAATGCTTCCTCATTCTTTACACCTACATGGCATTTCACATTGTATGTACATAACTCTTCCCAAATGACATATTATTTCCAATTCTTTGGCTACTATAATAACTCTGTCATGAATAATTTTTTAACTAATCATTTTAATGTAATTATGCATATATATTTGAGGATGAAGTCCTAGATATGTAATCAATGGATCCAAAGATATGATCAGTATTTTAGTAGACACTATGTATTTTCTTTGGTCTATAATTCTTCTAGTTTTGTGCATGCGATATTAGAATATTATAAACACCAAATGAGATTAAAGAGGACCAGAATTTAATTGTGGTTTTACTTTTTTATTTATTTATTTTTTTTGAGACTGGGTTGCTTGCCCAGGATGGTCTCAAATTCCTGGGGGTCAAGTGATCCTTTTGTCTCAGCCTCTCAAATAGCTAGGGCAACACGGGTGTACCACCATGCCCTGCTACATCTACTGTTCAATAAAATGATTTGGAGAAGTATTTGAAGTGTCTGTGTCTTCACTTTCCCAATGGTAAAAATCTGCTCTTCCTAACTGATAGGGTGGTAAGCCATCCGTTCCCTTATTACCTTTCAAGATAATTCTAGAGATTATCCTAGTGCTTAAATAACCACAACACAAAAAATACTTAATTTTAAAAGAATATCCTAAAAATCAAGCATTACCATGTACTATTAGTGCAATATAAAATATAGACACAGACTTACTGGGTCTCTGGAGACGAAAACTGGCAGACAAACTAAAGGAGCATTCATCTCATAAAAATGAAGCCATTTATTCACATCTTCATCTGAGTTCAAGGGGCAGGAAGAAAATCCTGCTGGCTGCAATACAAGATTGTTAAACAGGTAAACATACTGAATATTATTGAGAAATAAAATTTAAAACACAATTTCATTAAGTTAAAATTTTTAAGCCTTCTTATGTATTCTACTGACTATTTTTGGACTTTGAATGGCCACAACAATTTTGAAAAAAGAACATTATATGGTTTATACTTTTTTTTTTCTTTTTGGGAGACAGTCTCACTATGTCGCCCTCAGTGAAGGGCTATGGCATCATAGCTCACAGCAACCTCCAACTCTTGGGCTTAAACGATTCTCTTGCCTCAGCCTCCCAAGTACCTGGGAATACAAGCGCCTGCCACAACATCCGGCTGTGTTTTTGTTGCAGTTGATTAGCTGGCCCAGGCTGGGTTCGAACCTGCAACCCTCGATGTATGTGGCTGGCACCATAACCACTGTGTTGCGGGCACTGAGCTGGTTTACACTTCTTGACTTCAAAACTTAATACAAAGCTACAGTCATCAAAAGAGTGCAATACTAGCATAAAGACAGACATCAGACTGGTGGTAAAGAAAAAAAAAGCCCAGAAATAAATCCTTGCATATATAGTCAAATGATTTTCTTTTCTTTTCTTTCCTTTTTTGAGACAGTCTCAAGCTGTTGCCCTGGGGAGAGTGCTGTGGTGTCATAGCTCCCAGCAACCTCCAACTCAGGCTCAAGCAATCCTTTTGCCTCCGTCTATTAGTAGAGATGGAGTCTCACTTTGGCTCAGGCTGATCTCAAACTCCAGAACTCAAGCAAATCCACCCACCTCATCTCAAACTCCTGAGCTCAAGCAATCCACCCACCTCAGCCTCCTAGAGTGCTAGGATTACAAACACGAGCCACTGTGACTGGCTAGTTAAATGATTTTCAACAAGAGTGTCAATACTATTCAATGAGGAAAGGACAGTCTTCAACAAATGGTGGTGCATTTGCATGAAAAAGGTGAACTGGGACCCTCCATCTTACACCATACACAAAAATTAATTCAATGTGGATGGATCAAAGACTTAAAGTATTAGTAGAGCTAATACTTATATAGAAGAATACCTATGGTAAAAGTTTAAGGATATTGGATTTGGCCATGATTTCTTGAAAAGTGCAGTCAACAAAAAAAAGACATAAAATTTTAATAAAAATTAAAACTTTTGTGCACCAAATGACAAATGTGTAGCAACAAAGTTACAAGGCAGCTAATGGAATGGTAGAAAATACTTGCAAATCATATCTGATAAGGGATTGATACTCAGAATATAAAGATCTAAAACAAACACCTTAATTAGAAAATGAGCAAAGAGGCAGTGCCTGTGGCTCAGTGAGGACGGCGCTGGCCCCACATACGGAGGGTGTTGGGTTCAAACCTGCCCCTGGCCAAACTGCAAACAAAAAAATAGCTAGGTGTTGTGGCAGGCGCCTGTAGTCCCAGCTACTTAGGAGGCTGAGGCAAGACAATCACCTAAGCCCAAGCCCAAGGTTGCTGTGAGCTATGACGCCACAGCACTCTACCCAGGTCTGTGTCAAAAAAAACCAAAATAGTGTTGGCTACGATGTAGAAAAATGCATTGCTGAGGGCAGTGTAAAATGGTGTAGCACTATGGAAAAATCTTATGGTAGTTCCTAAAAGAATTAAACATAAAATTATCATATGACCCAGAAATTCTAAGTCTGGGTATAAACCCAAAAGAACTGAAGCGTCTTGAAGAGATACGTGTACATCCATGTTCACAGCAGCATAACAATAGCCACAATATGGAAGACCGCTTTTCCCTCCCTCTTCTACCCCCAACCCTAAAAAAAAAGAAAAAAAAGTAGAAGGAACCCAGTTTTTTTGTTTTTTTTTTTCAGAGACACAGTCTCACTTTATTGCCCTTGGTAGAGTGTCGTGATGTCACAGCTCACAGCAACCTCCAACTCCTGGGTTTAAGTGATTCTCTTGCCTCAGCCTCCCAAGTAGCTGGGACTACAGGTGCCCGCAACAACGCCCAGCTATTTTTTTGTTGCAGTTTGTCTGGGGCCGGCTTTGAATCCACCCCCTCAGTATATGGGGCTGGTGCCCCACTCACTGAGCCACAGGCGCTGCCCAGAAGCAACCCAGTTTTCATTGATGGATGAATAGAAAAACAAAATGTGTATACATACAATTGAATGTTATTGGCTTGGCACCCACAGCTCAGTGGTTAGGGCGCCGGGTACAAACACTGAGGCTGGCAGGTTTGAACCTGGCCCGGCTCTGCTAAACGACAATGGCAACTACAACAACAGAAACAAATAGCCGGCCCTTGTAGTCCCAGCTACTTGAGCCCAAGAGTTTGAGGTTGCTGTGAGCTGTGATGTCACAGCACTCTATCAAGGGCAACATAATGAGACCCTGTCTCAAAAAAAAAAAAAGGAATATTATTCTGTCTTAAACAGGAAATTCTGCTATTCTACAACATAGATAGACCTTGACAACATTATGCTATGTGGAATAAACCAATCACAAAAGAACAAATGACATAATGATTCCACTTGTATGAGCTATCTAGAGTGGTCAAATTTATAGAGATAGAAAGCAGAATGGTGGTTGTCAGAATAGAGGAAATGAGGGTTACTGTTGAATGGGTACAGAGTTTCAGTTTTACAGGAAGAGGAGAAAAGTTCTGGAGATGTATGGTGGTGATGGCTGAATAGTAACAAGAGTATAAATAATACCACTGAGTTGTATATTTAAAAATTGTTAAAAAGGTAAATTTTAAGTTATGTGTATTTTACCACAACTATTTTTTTGAGACAGAGTCTGTCTCACTCTGTTAATAGCCCTGGGTGGTGTCATCATAGCTCACAGCAACCTCCAAACTCTTGGGCTCAAGAGATCCTCTTGCCTCAGCTTCCTGAGTAACTGGGACAACAGGCATCTGCCACCACACCCAGCTAGTTTTTCTATTTTTAGTAGAGATGGGGGTACTCTTGCTCAGGCTGGTCTTGAACTCCTTTCACTCAAGCAATCTACCTGCCTCATCCTCCCAGAGTGCCTAAACAGGTTGCTTGAGCTCAGGAGTTTCAGACCAGCCTGAGCAAGAAGGAAGCCTGGTCTCTAAAACAGCCAGGTATTGTGGCAGGTGACTATAGGCTGAGCTACTCGGGAGGCTAAGGCAAGAGGATCACTTGAGCCCAAGAATGTGAGGCTGATGTGAGCCATGACACCATAGCACTCTATTTACCAAAGGCAATAAAGTGAGACAGAAAACAAAAACAAAAAAATAGGTGGCATCTGTGGCTCGATGGGTAGGGTACCAGCCACATATACCCAGGCTGGTGGGTTCAAATCCAGCCCGGGCCAGCTAAAACAACAATGACAACTGCAACAACAACAACAACAAAATAGCCCCTGGCTCAGAGCCTGTGGCTCAAGCAGCTAAGGCGCCAGCCACATACACCTGAGCTAATGGGTTCAAATCCAGCCCCGACCCACCAAACAACAATGATGGCTACAACAAAAAATAGCCAGGCATTGTGGTGGGTCCCTGTAGTCCCACCTACTTGGGAGGTGGAGGCAGGAGAATTACTTGAGCCCAGAAGTTGGAGGTTGCTGTGTGCTGTGATGCCACTACACTGGCTCTGTCTTAAAAAAAAAAAAAAAAAGGCTCGGCGCCTGTGGCTTAAGTGGCTAAGGCACCAGCCACATACACCTGAGCTGGCGGGTCAAATCCAGTCTGGGCCCACCAAACAATGACAGCTGCAACCAAAAAATAGCTGGGTGTTGTGGCGGGCACCTGTAGTCCCAGCTACTTGGGAGGCAGAGGCAGGAGAATCGCTTGAGCCCAGGAGTTGAAGGTAACTGTGAGCTGTGATGCCACAGCACCCTACCCAGGGTGACAGCTTGAGACTCTTGTCTCAAAAAAAAAAAAAATAGCCTGGTGTTGTGGCAGGCGCTTATAGTCTCAGCTACTTGGGAGTCTGAGGCAAGAGAATCACTTAAGCCGAAGAACTGGAAGTTGCTGTGAGCTGTGACTCCACAGCCCTCTACCCAGGACAAGAGCTTGAGACTCTGTCTCAACAAAGCTTAATAAAATATTCTATCCTTAATGTCCTATAAACATATACTTAACCCATAAACTAAACTGTTTTTTGTTTATTTATTTTGAGACAGGGTCTCCCTCTATCACCTAGGCTACAGTGCAGTGGCTCATTAGCACTCACAGCAACTCAAATTCCTGGCCTCAAGCAGTCCTCCAGCCTTGGCCTCCCAAAGTGCTAGGATTGCAGGCATAAGCCACCATGCTCAGTCCAAGATTAATCTTTACAGTGACCTTTTCTTTCCTCAAAAGCACAACCACCTTAATGGCAAAGTCTACTATATAGAGTTTGGGATTTGGGCAATGAAAATAAGCAGTTTTTAAGGCTCACAGTTTAATTTACCTTGAACTTAAATACACTGACAAGAAAGTTCTAATACATTAATGTGAAAAAAGAATTCTAGCTAGATAGTATCTCACAATATGATTTATAGTACTGTTTATCAGTTAAAGTAATACAATTAAAGTGAAAGGATTTGTTATGGTATCTTTAAAGGTCAGATTCCTAACACATAATTAATTATTTTTTCAGTTTTTTGGCTGGGGCGGGTTTGAACCTGTCACCTTCAGTATATGGGGCCGGTGCCCTACTCCTTGAGCCACAGGTGCTGCCTCCCCAACACATACTTAAACATCCCAAGATCTTCAGCATTGCACACAACCCCCCACATACATGCATGCATGCACGCACACATAGGCGCTTACCATAATGTGAGACTTCACTTTTCCTTTCTGAATTACAAAAGTACCTCCCATCCCTACGGGTTTATCTCCATAATGTTTTTCCAGAGTCTGTCTCATACAAGTCACAAAATTAAGATGTCCAGTTCTTCTTTTTGCTTTCACCTCAATGACCTGCAGGGAATATAAATACGTATATCATCAGCTAGGCTGCAAAATTTTATGTGAATAACTACCAAAGTGAAACAGTATATAATTTAATGACATCAAGCAAATATTCTCTTCTTTGCTTAGAGCTCCCAGATCTGAGCTGAAGTATCTCAATCCTCTGTGCATCTTGATTATATATATGTATACACACAAATAATCAGTTACATATAATTTACTCTAATAATAAGTATTAGTTCTGCATTCTTGAACTAAGAAAGAGAGTTATAGAGACTATTTTATTTTCGTCTTACCATTATACATACTGACAAGGATTTAGAGACTTTCTTTTTTTTTTTTTTGGGACTGAGCCTCAAGCTGTCCCCCTGGGCAGAGTGCTGTGGCATTACAGCTCACAGCAACCTCTTACTCCTGGGCTCAAGCAGGTCTCCTGCCTCCGCCTCCCAAGTAGCTGGGACCACAGGCACCCGCCACAACGCCTGGCTATTTTTTGGTTGCAACCGTCATTGTTGTTTTGGCGGGTCCGGGCTGGGGATTCGAACCCGCCATCTTAGGTGTACGTGGCTGGCGCCTTAGCCGGTTGAGCTATAGGCGCCGAGCCGATTTAGAGACTTTCTTAACATGTATGTGAAGTTGGTAAAAGGTTAAGAATTCCCAGGCTTAAAGGGATCAATCTTTGATTAATGAGAATGAGGGGAAATGATAACATTTTTTCGTTTCCCTTAAAATGAAGTGAGCCACCACTCATGGTCTTGCTATGCATTTTTGCTACCATCATTTCTATCTAGAACAATATATGATCAATCAGAAATGAGCAAATTACTTGTTTACTACCTATAAGTAAGCATTTATTTTAGCTGCATGATTCATTTAAGTGACAAATTCATTCCCCAAATTAATATTCTTGCCTTTTAGTTACTCAGAAAAAGATATTGCTTACTAAGTTTTAACCTCAGTTTTTTGTTTTTGATTTTTTTTGAGACAGGGTCTCACTTTGTTGCCGTGGGTAAAGTGCTATGGCGTCATAGCTCACAGCAACCTCAAACAATTGGGTTCTTGCCTCAGCCTTCTGAGTAGCTGAGACTATAGGAGCCCGCCACAACACCAAACTACTTGGAGAGATGAGGTCTTGCTCTTGCTCAGCCTGGTCTCAAACACCTGAACTCAAGCAATCCACCCACCTCCACCTCCTAGAATGCCAGGATTACAGGCATGAGCCACTGCGCCCAGCCCCAACCTCAGTTTAAAGAAAACTTTTGTTCTGCCTGAGATACTCCTTGAATCTTTTATAATTGTTTTTCTTTTTATTAGTGATAGTTTCTTGTTCTGTTACCGAGGCTGGAAGGCAGTGGCATGATCATAACTCACTGCAGCATGGAACTTAAGATCTTGAATGATCAATCATCTTGCCTTAGCCTCCTGAGTAACTGGGGCTCAGTAGCATATGCCACCATACCTGGCTAATTTATTTCATTTTATTTCATTTTTTTAGAGATGATGTCTTGCTATGTTGCCCAGGTTGGTCTCAACTCCTGGCCTTGAGTGATCCCCCTGCCTCAGCCTCCCAAGTCATTAGGATCATAGGAGTCAGCCACTGTGCCAGGCCATAAGTGAGTTATTTAAAGAGATTTTACCTAGGTAGTTCTTTTCTTTTTTTTGAGACAGAGCCTCAAGCTGTCTCCCTGGGTACTGTGCCGCGGCATCACAGCTCACAGCAACCTCCAACTCCTGGGCTCAAGCGAGTCTCCTGCCTTAGCCTCCCAAGTATATGGGACCACAGGCGCCTGCCACAACGCCCAGCTATTTTTTGGTTGCAGCCGTCATTGTTGTTTGGCAGGCCCAGGCTGGATTTGAACCTGCCACCTTAGGTGTATGTGGCTGGCACCTTAGCCACTTGAGCTACAGGCACTGAGCCTACCTAGGTAGTTCTGAAGGAAAACCATAATTGGGGCAACACAAGTTCCAAACTTTAGCTATCTGAGAACATTTGGAGAATATTGTATTTTTATGGACAAAATCACCTTGCCAGGTTGGCCTTCACTGGCAAAAAGATTAGCCAGTAGTGCACACCCAAAATCATGATATTTCTCACTGTATTTCTCTAGTAGGCACCCTCCATCTGCAGGGTTAACACGGGCAAAGTAACTTCCATTCACAGGAGGTTTGTGTTCACTTTCTGTTTGAATAATTGGCATAAACTGAAAAGAAAATAAAGAAATCATTCAATCTTAGCATCTCTATGCAAAGAGAATATCTTGAATAATGTTACAAAATATTTCATCCCTCTAAGACATTTCACGCATTTCAAGTACTAATATGAAAACATGAAATATGCTTATTTAATTTTATGTACAAAAACCTAGAAAATGTTTAATTTTTTTTATTTTTAGATGGAGCCTCAAGCTATCCCCCTGGGTAGAGTGCCATGGCATCACAGTTCACAGCAACCGCCAACTCCTGGGCTCAAGCGAGTCTTCTGCCCCAGCCTCCCAAGTAGCTGGGACTACAGGCGCCTGCCACAACGCCTGGCCATTTTTTGGTTGCAGCCGTCATTGTTGTTTGGCGGGCCCGGGCTGGGGATTCGAACCCACCACCTTAGGTGTCTGTGGCTGGCGCCTTAGCCGCTTGAGCCACAGGCGCCGAGCCGAAAATGTTTAAATTTTAAACATTTTTTCTATCTTGAACACTAGAAAAATTCTATTAATGTTTCTACAAAGAACTTTTTTTCCCTAATGTTCTGAGGAAAGACCTATCTGCAAAGAACTTGTGAGACTACAGACAAATGTTCACATCTGAAGAGGCTGCGAGAGATGGGCAGACTGAACAGATTATTCACTTTATTCATGAGATACGAAGAAATGGTGATGTTTTTATATAGTAATCGTATATATTAATAGCATATACTACTAATAGCTGTTCACTTTAATAAATAACCATTATAATACTCTGATAGTATTTGGTCTGATTGAGGGCCAGACCATTAAATTTAGATCATTAAATATTCCATTCATCTTCTGATTCAAAACCACCTTTATACTAAAAGCAAAGATATATTGAGAAAGTAGGTATCCTATGATGTATAAAGACAAAAATCTTCTATAATCCAGGGCCTTCAGCAGAATACCTGAGACCTTGGATTTATCTAAGGCAGAACCTATATCATAAGAAAATGTGAAACTAGGAGTCAGTACTCCAGTACAGTTGGGCCAATTAAGGCATGTCCTATAAACCAAATCGGTACCAAATAGGATCTAATCTGTAGACTGGTGTGCTATCAGCCACTTAAACCCAGAAACTAGGTTTTTGGCAGTAAAAGGAAGGAGACAAACTAAATGTCAAATCTGTAAAATAAAATTACTATATATGCTTTCAGAGGGTAACAAAGAAAAACAAAGGGGGAAAAATATATATATGCTGACCTCAGAATTAAACCCAAGAGTCTGAAATGGACCTGCCCCTGCTCCAAGAATAAAAGCTCCAGGCAGCTTGATTTCTTTTGCAATTTTATTCACATCATAAACCTATAGAAGAAGAAAAGACATTATTTAAATTATAATTTATATAAATCCCCTGCTTTACTTTTTATTACTGGGTCTATTAGCACTTCCTTACCACACTGATGAATGGGTCTTCTAATAATAAACCCAACTTCTATGATCTTCATATGAATATGAAGAGTAAAAGCTTACTCTTACTTACTTTTACTCTTACTCACTTTTTTCTGGTTTACAAGAGGCAATAAGTACGGCACACCTCCTACTTCTGCAATTCTAGTTTTCCCACAGATGCCTAAAAAAAAAACAAACACAAGCCATCTTAAAAATAGGCAGACATCTAATTTAAGAATAAAATGCCAGAAGACACTCACTCAATTTAAAATTTTGAGTTAATTTATTCATTTTTCTATTCTCAGGAAGTGTTTTACCAATAGCAGGGCTTAGAAGACATAAGTAGCTAGTACCCCCCTCCTGTTTTAACTACCTGTGTTTCTAATATCATAACCAGGCATGAGTTGATATAGTTGGAAGATAAAGGCAATATTAAGTTGATGATGAAGCAAGGGCTAGAATTAGGGCCAAAGTTTGCATTGAGTAAGGTTTCTACAGTCTGTAATGACATATTCCTGGCTTCTTTTGGTTAAAATTATTTTTTATTTTTTTAACTTACATGTCAAATATTTAATTTCATTATTGATTTTTGTGTGTGTGTGGTTTTTGGCCAAGGCTGGGTTTGAACCTACCACCTCCAGCATATGGGGCTGGTGCCCTACTCCTTTGAGCCACACGTGTCACCCTAAAATTGTTTTTTTCTGTATTATTTTTTATTAAATCATAACTTTGTACATTGATGCATTTATGGGGTTTAGGGTACTGCTTTGATATACAATATGAAAAATTTACATTGAACTAAGTAACACATTCATCACAATTATACTCAGTTCTTAATAGTTTTGGAATGTACCATTGCATCATGCACATTACGTGAGGTCCCCCAAATACCCTCCCTCCTCCCATATCCATCCTCCCCTCATCTCTCTCTCTTCTTCTCTTCTACTTTCTGGACTATAGTTATGTTTTGCCATTCGTATTTGTGTGTAGGTGGTTATATATTGATTTCATAATAGTATTGAGTACATTGGATACTTTTTTTACCATTCTTGAGATACTTTACTAAGAGTATGTTCCAGATCCATCCAGGTAAACATAAAAGATGTGAAGTCTCCATCTTTTTTATGGCTGCATAGTATTCCATGGTATATACATATACCATGTGATATATATATATATATATATATATATATCACAATTTGTTAATCCATTCATGGGTCAATGGGCACTTGGGCTGTTTCCATATCTTGGCTATTATGAATTAGGCTACAATAAACATTCTGGTGTGAATGTCTTTGTTTTGAAATAATTTTTGATCATCTGGGTATATACCTAGTAGAGGAATTGCAGGATCAAACAGTAGGTCTACCTACAGTTATTTAAGTGTTCTCCAAACTTCTTTCCAAAAAGGTTGTATTAGCTTGCATTCCCACCAGCAGTGTAGAAGCATTTCCTTCTCTCTGCATCCATGCCAACATCTGTAGTTTTGGGATTCTGTGATGTGGGCTAATCTTACTGGAATTAGATATCTCAAAGTGGTTTTGATTTGCATTTCTCTGATGATTAAGGATGATGAACATTTTTTCATGGGTTTGTAGGCCACATGCCTGTCTTCATCCAAGAAGTTTCTGTTCAAGTCTCTTGCCCACATAGAAATGGGGTTATTCTTTTCTTATAGATTAGTTTGAGTTCTCTGTAGATTCTAGTTATCAGACCTTTGTCAGAAGCGTAATGTGCAAAAATCTTCTCCCATTCTGAAGGTTGTCTGTTTGCTTTACTTACTGTGCTCTTGGCTGTGCAAAAGCTTTTTAGTTTGATCAGATCCCAGTAATGGATTTTTGGTGTTGCTTCGATTGCCCAAGGGGTCCTCCTCATAAAATATTCTCCCAGTCCAATTTCTTCAATTTCATGTCTTAATTTTAAATCTTTTATCCAGTGAGAATCAATTTTTGTTAATGGTGAAAGGTGGGGGTCCAGTTTCAGTCTTCTACAGGTCGCCAGCCAGTTCACCCAGCACCATCTGTTAAATGGGGAGTCTTGGCTCAGTGCCTGTGGCTCAATCGGCTAAGGCGCCAGCCACATACACCTAAGGTGGCGGGTCGAAACCCCCGCCCGGGCCTGCCAAACAACAATGACGGCTGCAACCAAAAAATGGCTGGCGCTGTGGCGGGCGCCTGTAGTCCCAGCTACTTGGGGGGCTGAGGCAGGAGACTCGCTTGAGCCCAGGAGTTGGAGGTTGCTGTGAGCTGTGATGCCATGGCACTCTACCCAGGGGGATAGCTTGAGGCTCCGTCTCAAAAAAATAAATATATAAATAAATAAATAAATAAATAGGGAATCTTTCCCCCACTGAATATTTTTGATAGGCTTGTCGAAGATCAAATGATGATAAGTAGCTGGGTTAATCTCTTGGTTCTCTATTCTGTTCCATAAATCTACCACTCTGTTTTTGTGCCAGTACAAGAAACCATGTTGTTTTGATCACTATATAGTATAGCCTGAAGTCTGGTAATGTGATACCTCCTGATTTGTTCTTATTTCTGAGTAATGTATTTGCTATTTGAGGTTTTTTTCTGATTCCATATAAAACGAAGTACTATTTTTTCAAGTTCTTTAAAGTATAACAATGGTGATTTAATAGGGATCGCATTAAATCTGTAGATTGCTTTGGGTAGTATGGACATTTTAACAATGTTGATTCTACCCAGCCATGAGCATGGTACGTTTTTCCATTTGTTAACATCTTCAGCTATTTCTTTTCTCAGAGTTTCATCGTTCTCTTTATAGAGATCTTTCACGTCCTTTGTTAGGTAAATTCCCAGGTATTTCATCTTCTTTGGCACTATTATAAAAGGAATAGAGTCCTTGATTGTTTTTTCATCTTGACTATTGTTGGCATGTATAACAACTACTGACTTGTAAGTACCAATTTTGTATCCTGAGACATTGCTATATTCCTTGATCACTTCTAAGAGTTTTGAAGTTGAGTCCCTGGGATTTTCCAGGTATAGGATCATGTTATCAGCGAAGAGTGAGAGTTTGATCTCCTCTGACCCTAACTGGATACCCTTGATTGCCTTCTCTTGCCTGATTGCGATGACTAAGACTTCCATGACTATGTTAAATAGCAGTGGAGACAGTGGGCATCCTTGCCTTGTTCCTGACCTGAGCAGAAATGTTTTCAATTTTACACCATTCAATTTGATATTGGCTGTGGGTTTGCTGTAAATGGCCTCTATCAGTTTAAGAAATGTCCCTTCTATGCCTATTTTCTTAAGAATTCTGATCATGAGGCTCGGCGCCTGTGGCTCAAGCAGCTAAGGCACCAGCCACATACACCTGAGCTGGCAGGTTTGAATCCAGCCCAGGGCCATCAAACAACAATGACAGCTGCAACCAAAAAAATAATAATAAATAAATAAAAGAATTCTGATCATGAAAAGATGCTGGATATTATCAAAGGCTTTTTCTGCATCAATTGAAAGAATCATATGGTCTTTGTTTATTTTATTGATGTGATATATTTATTGATTTGCATATGTTAAACCAATCCTGTAATTATGGAATAAACTCGATCATGGTGTATAACTTTTTTGATTTGTTGAATTCTGTTTGCTCAGATCTTATTGAATATGTTTGCATTGATATTCATTAATGATATTGGTCTATAATTTTCTTTCTTTGTTGGATCCTTTCCTGGTTTGGGTATCAGGGTAATATTTGCTTCATAGAATGTGTTGTACCTATAATATAGGTACTAGTTCCTCTTGAAAGGTTTGATAGAATTTGGATGTGAAGCCATCTGGTCCTGGACTTTTCTTTTTAGGGAGATTTTGTCTAAAATTGTTTTTTTAATTTAAAATACTTCCTCTGGGCCTGAAACTGTGGCTCTCTTGTGTAATCCTAGCACTCTAAGACTGCCTGAGCTTACAGGTTTGAGACTACCCTGAGCCAAAGTGAGTTTCTACCTCATCTCTAGAAATAGCTAGGCATTGTGGCAGATGCCAGTAGTCTCAGCTACTCTGGAGGCTGAGGCAAGAGAATCACTTGAGCCCAAAAGTTTGAGGTTGCAGTGAGCTATGACTCTATAGCACTCTACAGAGGGTAACAGAGTGAGACTCTGTCTCAAAAGAAACAAATAAAATATTTTCTCTGTTATAAAGTTTTTAGATCCATACTGGGAAATCTTTTCAAAGTTCTTTTCTTTTTTCTTGAGACAGAGTCTCACTACGTCCCCCTTGGTAGAGTGCTGTGACGTCACAGCTCACAGCAACCTCCAACTCTTGGGCTTAAGCAATACTCTTGCTTCAGCCTCCCAAATAGCCAGGACTACAGGTACCTGCCACAACACCCAGCTATTTTCTTATTGCAGTTGTTCAGTTTTGTTCAGCTGGCTCCAGGCTGGGCTCAAACCGGCCAGCCTCAGTGCATGTGGTTGGTGCCATAACCACTGTGCTATGGGCACCAAGCCTAAGTTTTCTCTTTTTTTCATAGAGATGGTATCTTCCTCTTGTTCAGGCTGGTTTTAAACTCCTGATCTTAAGCATTCCTCTTGCCTTAGCCTCCTAAGGTGCTAGACAGAGGTCTTCAAACTTTTTAAACAGGGGGCTAGTTCACTGTCCCTCAGACCATTGGAGGGCTGGACTGTGGGCCCCGGGACGATTTGGCTGCTAAGCAGGAGAGGCAGTGGTGGCAAAAACACCCAGCAGGCTGGATAAATATCCTGGGCGGGCCATATGTGGCCTGCAGGCCGTAGTTTGAGGACACCTGTGCTAGGATTACAGCCATAAGCCACTGTAACGAGCCTTCTACTTATGTTATTAATTAACAGCTAGATATAATTTAGATAGATACAATTTGAGAAAAGGCACTTTACCTTTTGAGAAAATATAGTCTTGTCAATTTTATGCTGACATATTACATAGCAGATATACTTGCTCTTTTTTTTAACTATGCAAAGGGTAGATGTACAAAATTCTAATAGCTTCCATTAGTAATTGGGGATTTTGAAAACATTTTTCCTGGGATCAACAGTCATGGATAAGACTTTCTCATAAGTTCTGGGTTTTGTTTACTTTGTCACCCGGGTAGAGAGGTGTGGTATCACAGCTTACAGCAACCTCAAACTCTTGGGCTTAAATGATTCTCTTGCCTCAGCCTTCCCAGTAGCTGGGACAAGCA